CAGGATCTGGCACCTACTGTCCTTGTGCCTTCTGCCCAAGAGGTTCCTTCTGCCGGAATTGATCTCTGTCTTCCGTGTTTACTGGGATGCTTACCACCCCCAAAGCCCCTTCCAATCTCACCCCTACCTGAGGCTCCTCTGTTCTTAGTTAGGAAAGTCAGTTCTTTATGTGGGGCTTAACTTCTTGTCAGGCTGTGGACTTCTTGAAGGCAGAGCCTGCCTGTCTCATGCAGACCTATTGCTTCTAAGGCATTTTTCTTGTATGATCCCAGACATATACGTCTCACAAATTTGGGGCCTCGATTGTGGAATTTTAAAAAGTAAACAACTGTAAAGTCTGGCATGTTATAAATATAGACATAAAAGAAGAAAAGAAAAGCAAGCCTGGCATGATGGCAGGTCTGAGAGAAAATGGCCCCAACAGGGAGTGGCATTATTAGGAAATGTGGCTTTGTTGGAGTGGGTATGGCCTTGTTGGAGGAAATGTGTCACTGTGGGGTGGGCTTTGAGGCCTCTCATGCTCAAGCTATGCCCAATGTGGAACACAGACTCCTGCTGTCTGTGGATGAAGATGTAGAACTCTTAGCTTCTTTTCCAGCACCATGTCCTGCCATGATGACAACGGACTAAATCTCTGAAACTGTAAACTAGCTCCAATGAAATGTTTTCCTTTATAGGAGTTGCTGTGGTCATGGTGTCTCTTCACACAATAGACACCCTAACTAAGACACCTGAAATCCCAGCTACTAAGGAGGCTGAGGCAAGGGCTTCATGAGTTCAAGGCCAGCCTGAATGACATAGTGAAACTGTCTCAAAATAAAATGCAAAGAGCTCTTGCCAAGCTTCAATAATACACAGTTCAATTTCCAGTACGGGGTGGGGGGGGGATGGGGGAATGGTGGTGCACACCTTTAATCCCAGCACTCGGGAGGCAGAGGCAGGAGGATCTCTGTGAGTTTGAGGCCAGCCTGGTCTACAGAGTGAGTTCCAGGACTTCCAGGGCTACACAGAGAAACCCTGTCTTGAAAAACCAGAGAGAGAGAGAGAGAGAGAGAGAGAGAGAGAGAGAGAGAGAGAGAGAGAGAGAGAGAGAGAGCGAGCGCACATATATGTCATCACTGTTTTTTATTTTTAATTTCATGTGTCTGTGTGTGTCTCTGTGTGGATTCGTGCACATGAGTGTTGGTGGTGACCAGAAGAGGCCTTTAGTTCCTGGAGCTGGAGTTACAGGCTAATGGGTGCCACCCGATGTGGGTGCTGGCCACCAAATTCAGGTCTTCTGCAATAGCAGTCATGCGCTTACCCACGGACTTCTCTTTCCACTCCCTGTAACATCTTAAGGAATGTAAGGACCACAGGATTGCGACCCACGACTGTTCACTTAAAACACAAGTCTTGAACTATGGAAACTTTGTGTTGTTCCTTTTTCTCAGTGATGTCAGATTTGAATTCACATCCCTCACTGAGCCTTTTTTTTTGGGGGGGTGGGGCTAGTTTTTGAGACAGAGTTTTGTAGAGAGCTGCAAAGTGCCGCACCCTTAAGATGGTGCTGGCTTCTGCCTTCTGCTAGCCCGACAGCAGATGCTCTCTATGATAAACAACACCTGTATTTGGTTAAGGCTGGATATCAGGCTTGCTTCTGTGTACGTGGACCTATCTGCATGTTCCACGTGGCATACTGGGGTTGGCTGACCAAGGGCTTTTAAGCTGCGGGTTGGGGCTCCCTGGCGCTCCCCGGGAGAAGAAGATTGTTCAAGGTTCCTGAATAAACTGCTTAAAGAAGAGCCTGGGCGTTGCGTCTTCCTTGCTGGTCGAGGTTGGGCGTGACAGAGTTTCTCTGTGTAGACTTGACTGTCCTGGAACTCTATTGCAGACCAGGGTGGCCTCGAATTCACAGAAATCCACCTGCCTCTGGGATAAAAGTGCTGTACCTCCTAAGTGCTGGGATTAAAGGCATGTACCACAATTGCCCAGAAAGTCTTATCTTTATATGTAGTATTTTCATACTTGAAAGTCCTTTTAAAATACCAAATACATGCATAAATTGTGTTTTTGAGACAGAATCTCACTGTAGAGCCCAGGCTAGATATCCAGGCTGACTTCAAACTTAGCCATTCTTCTGTCTCTGCGCAAGTGCAGGTTTACAGACATGCCACCATCATGCCAGGCTAGACTGTCTTTTAGTACACAATCTATCAAAACCACTGAATTCGTAGCACATCCTTATTAGTACTTATCACACATAAAGATTCCAGCTTAATTGGAAACACATGCTTTTATGAGCTAAGAGGGACCATTCACCCACATATGAATTCCACTCATTGTTCTCTGTAAGCACGACACACAGCATCCGTTTTATTTCATGATTTTTATAGATATAAGTGCTATAAAACTTGTTCACATAAATCATAGCCAGGACTAGAAGGTACTTTATTGTAGCACTGTCAATCAGTCCTATGAATTCCTTCCAGGTAATGTGCCAGCAATTACCTGGTGACTTATTATAGAAATACTTCCTATCCCTTGTCAACTGTAATTTGATAATATCTTTCTTCCAGACTTTTGAAAGCAAAGAATTGGGAACACATTGTTTGGGGAAAGATTTTTCTAAATAGTGATTAGGAGTAATTCACTTTTTCAGTTTCTGGGGATAATACAAAAACACTACTAAAATTTATCAACCATTAATTAAACTTGTTTTCTAACCTAGCATAATAAAAAATGCAGGGAAATGAAAATACTAACTGCCTTATAACTGTCAGTATGATGTATTTTTTCAGAAACTGATTTTATAGTTTATACTAAATGTTTTCATTTCTTCAAAACAGCAGATTTGGCTTATACAAATTTTGGAAAATATCTACCATATAATCTACTTTGCAAATACAACCTTGTTGTCAAAACAATAAATTGAATTGGATTTCTAGTGGCCTTTTTTTCTCCATGAAATGTCTTATTTATCATAAGTATAGGCATTTTCTTCTGTTTCCTTTGTGGTGGTTTAAATAGGAATGGTCCCCATAGACTCATGTGTTTGGATGCTTGGCCCATGGGGAGTGGCACTATTAGGAGGTGTTAGAGTAGGTGTGACCTTGCTGGAGGAAGTGTGTCACTGTGGAGGTAGGCTTTGAGGTCTCATATACCAGTGTGGTACATCATCTCCTGCTGCCTGTGGACCAAGATGTACATGCCACCATGATGAAAATGGCTAAATCTTTTAACTGTAAGCCAGCCCCAATGAAATGTTTTCCTTTATAAGAGTTGCTGTGGTCATGGTGTCTCTTCACAGCAATAGAAACCCTAACTAAGACAACCTTCAAATCTCTACATCCTTTACAATTATTATATTTTTATTTACTTATTTTGGGTGTGTAAGTGAATGTGTGCCCATGCATGCCGTAGCATGTGAAGGGAGGTCAGAGAACAACTTGTGATACCTTTACCCACTAAGCCATCTTGCCTGCCTTTTTCATGAGGGTGTCTCATGGAGCCCAGTCTGGCCTTAGAATCTATATGTAGCAGACACTTGCCCTGAACTCAGGATCCTCCTGCCTCTGCCTCCTCAATGCTAGGATTTCAGGTGTGAGACACCATGCTGCCATGAGACTCCTAAACCCTTTCCCCAGGTGCCTATCTCAGGCTTGGAGCCGTATGAACTGTTGCACTGACAACATAAAGATGCCTCCCCTGCCACACACACAGTCAGGCTTTCATTACTCTGCTCTCAGGGAAATCTTCCTTAGGAGTGATGTGTTCTTTGACTGTAGTTGGGAATGGAAAGCACATGGATGTTAAATGATATTGGTCACCTGTCCTGCTGCTCCCTGCTATGATATGGTTTTTCTGAATATCAGGTGTCCTGGTATGGACCAGTGTAAGTACTTTGCCTTCAAAAGACTATGTATGGGACAAGATACTGGGTCTTCCCTGACTTAACTAAAGGAGGTCTCCTTGAGGTGGCTTGCTTGTTTTGCTGATTCTACTATTGGTACCTTATGTTTGGAGAAGAAGACCCATTCACAAAGTGGATGAAAGATACGTCTTTGCTTTGTGAAGTAGCTGGAGTTATAAATGGCCAAGAGGAAAGAGCTGGATAAGCCCTCACAGGCAGATGAGCTTTTGGCAGAAAGATCTGCAGATGTTGCAGAGATGGAAACTGATTCCTTTAAAAAAGTCAGTGTGATCTTAGCCCACAAGTGTGCAGACACCAATATGAAGATGGCTGTCTTATACCTCTTATTGTCTACCATAGCATGCCAGGATAGAGTAGCATTGATACTTTCAGGCATCTCTTTTTTTAGTGCTCATGTGTGCTGGGTAAATGCTGTACAACCGAGCTGCATCCTGACCTAAAGGTTCACCTTTAGACCTGGTACTAATAATAAACAATAACTAACCCAGGAAGGTGAAGGATTTTAAAACTGAAAAATAATGTTAAAAGTAATAAACATAAACAGACATGCCAGTTTATATCCATTAGTGTATTTTCTCTTTTATGCTTAAAACTTTTGTTTTTACATTAAAGGTTTCTTTGCCTTCTCATATAATCTATGCTTTTCTGGTCTGTTTCTCCCATACAGAACATATGAGATTCACTTTGCAGGATTAAGATTCCATAAATATTCTAATAATTAGCTCACCATTCTTGCAATGCTAAAATTCCCTTTGAATAGTTTTTACCTTTTGAGGTTTTAGTTTGTTATATGACACCATGTGGTACACTATAGCTGTCACTACATTTTACATTATTTTTAAAATACTTCAGATAATAAAACAAAACAGAATTGCTAAGATATGACAGGACCAAGGACTTCAAACTATAGTTTTTGAATCCCTCTGGGCTTGCTAATGTTGTAAGTAGTGCATCCTCAGAGGTGGGCCTGGTGTGTGATGTGTATTTAGTAGGCAGAATTAATCTTCAGAAGTGATTAAAGTTATATACAAATCCAAAAATAATAATCTTTTTCCAAAGTAAAGCCTTAGCTTTCTGTTATTGACAGAAAACACCTCCAAGGCAAGGCTGAGGCTGGAACAGTTCCAGGACAGCCCCTCACCTCCTGGATCCTCCCTGGCCAAGGTCTCTCCTCCGCCCAGGATGAAGACGTGGAAATCAACAGAGGTGAGATGCTCCAGTCCCCTTCACCACTGTACCAGGTAACCAAGCATGTGCGTTACAATCTGAGTGTGTTCCTTTGCAGCTCTGCAGGTCGAAGGTGTCTGCAGGGCTGCCTACCTGTCCGTCTTCCCTGGCTCATGAACTGAAAGACGAACTGTGCTTGCCATTTGTGTTTTATGTTATTCAGGGTTTTAAATATCAGCAAGGTAAAACTGTGTTGAGTTTTCCTTCATATTATAGTTTGTGCTGTTCATTTATTTGTTTTGTATTGCTAGGCATGGAACCCAGTGCACGCTGGGCATGGAACCCAGTGCATGCTGGGCAAACCAGCCTTCGAAAGCCTTTACTACAACTTTACAGGAAGATGACAAAACAGTAGTCTTAAGCGACCTTCTCCCAGCTTCTCCTATGTTGGCAGATAATGAAATTTAAACATCTTCTTCCACATTTTCCTTCCTCCCGTGGAGCCCTTTTGCTCAGCAAGTCCTGCACAAGATTAGGCCTTGATAACATTTCATTATGGGTGGGGGAGGAGCTCCTAAGGCTCCATTCCTCCTACTTTCGTGTTTTCTGTTGTTTGGCCACTGAGTTTAGGAAGATTTACTTGCCCAAGTACAGGTGAGAGGTTATTTAGTGGAGCAAGGGCAGCTGTCTGCGGTTGCATCACTGGATAAAGCAGTGTCCCCCTTCCTCCCCACAATTGCCAGTAGTCCCTCTAGAGGGGAGCCTCATGGGTAAGTGGAGACATGGAGGTGGAAGGTGGATTGTAGGGTGGGGAACTCGTCTCTCTGTCCCAGTGTGAGAGGAGGGTCACCCCTGCCGGACTGAGCCTCACACCGATTCTTTGTTTTAGCACCCCAAGCGGCAGCAGCCTTAAAGGGAGACCTGTCTATGCAGGAGTTGAAACGGGAACCGGGAAATGCATATTCCCAGGCCTGCCTGGTCCTCACCACTGAGCATGCTCATCCCCCTACTACCCTGGGCTTCTGCTCTGGCCAGAAGGACCTCCTGAGTACAGCTTCTGTCTAAAGCATGGAAGCAGGCACCAAGGCAGTCAGCAGATGAGGCCGCTTCCTCCTCATTCTGTCCCACCACTGTGCCGCTCACCTTCTGCTAGGCATAAGGCCCATGCCAGCTGCAGCATCCATGCACACAGAGATCCATTCACAAGAACCCAGCGCCTCTCCACAGTACTCCACTGTGCAAGGGATGCCCCAGAAGCAGAGCCAGCGCTGCGGCGTACCTTCTTCCGTGTTCTCCGACCTCAGACCCACACCTTATTCTCCTTATGCTTGCACGTGCCAGCTCATATTTCTGGCTCTGACACGAGGCTCTTCAAATGCTACTTTTTTTTTTCTATTGCTCTTGAATTCTTTCTGCTTAGTATCTATTAGGTACACATTTAATCTGTCAGTTACTTTTTGTCTTCCATCTTCCTGCTGCATTTCAGGCTGTCTTCTAGTCCAAGTGTCTTTTCATTGGTTGGTGCCTAGAGCTGTCCCTGTCCTGGGAGTTGCTCTTACTCAGTGACTGCCTTCACTCCCGGGACATCAGATTGCTTCTGTTCTTGTTTACTTTTCCCTTAAGGTAAGAGTAGTTAGTACTCAGGCGTTTTTCTGGGTTTGAGAGAAGGGCAGAGACAGACTTCAGGTTAAAAGGCCAGCATTCAGGGAGGAGAAGGCTGGGATAGCAGACACAGCAGCGGCCCCTGCTTCTCCTTCAGTGACTTTCATTGTCATTTTGAGGCATCTGCACATATTTCATTTCCATACTTTTTAGATTTGCTTATTTCCATTTTGTCAAGGGTGAACTTTTTTGGTTTTAGAAATATTGGATCATAAGCTTTTCTTGCACAGGTCTCATGTGCACGCGTGCATGGGTGCTTGCATGCGTGGGTAAGACGTCCCTCTTAACCCTCCCTGATTAACAGGTCCTCATTTGCCCGTTCCTGTCCTGCCTTTCTGCATGACTCACGCTGGCACCTTGAGGTCCCCACTTTCACTGAAGTCAGAGATAATGCCTGTCTGGTCTGTAGAGCACAGGGTGTGCGGGTCCAGCCGCTGGGGAAGTGTGTGTCCCATCATGTGGTCAGCTGCGGGGGCAGTGTGTGTCCCCTCGCCTACGCAGTGGCATGCTCCCTCAGGCTGTCCCTGCTTCCTTCCTTTAGACTAGAGGTCCAGTTCCCAGTGTGCTGCCTGCTTTTCCTTCCATTCACAAATGCTGTTCCCTGACCGTCTACTGCATTTCCTAGGAAGGGGTTTTGACTTCTTGACCCATCCTTTTCCTCATCCCTTAGGTGCTGGATTTAAGGGCTTTCCTAAGAGTTTGGAAAGGGATTTTCCTAAGAGTTCAAACAGTCTATTTTACTATTCCTTAGTGCACACCAACTTACAGATTAAGAAAAAAACTAGGTAATTTTAAAAGACATGAGGTCAAATGATTTTAAAATTTTCTATTTATTTGATGCTGACAGCTTTTCAGTAGAAAATCGACTTGAATATCCCGATTTCTTGAATCACTCTTTAAATCCTGACATTTTCACCTTGTTTTAGAGGAGCCCTCAGTTACTGGCTTACATAATACCATATTTTATATCAGTAAGAAAATGATAATTGGAGTACTCTAGTGACTGAGTTTTCACTTTGAAGGCATGACTACGTGTTAACAGAAACCCATCACCCTCTTGACAAGCATGACCTCCTGTCACACTAGGGACATTCAGGGCAGTCAATATGTCTTCTCTAGCTGCCTGTTCCTGTAGCAGAAGACAAATCCTAGCAAGCAACAGTGAACTGTTGTTGTTACAGTGAACTGATGGTTGTTGCAGTGAACTGTTGTTGTCACAGTGAACTGATGGGTTGTCAGAGTGAACTGTTGTCACAGTGAACTGATGGTTGTTACAGTGAACTGATGGCTGTTACAGTGAATTGATGGCTGTTACAGTGAACTGTTGTTGCAGTGAACTGAGGTTGTTACAGTGAACTGTTGTTGTTACAGTGAACTGATGGTTGTTACAGTGAACTGATGGTTGTCGCAGTGAACTGTTGTTGTCACAGTGAACTGATGGTTGTTACAGTGAACTGATGGTTGTTACAGTGAACTGATGGTTGTTACAGTGAACTGTTGTTGTTGCAGTGAACTGTTGTTGTTGCAGTGAACTGATGGTTGTTGCAGTGAACTGTTGTTGTCACAGTTAACTGATGGTTGTTACAGTGAACTGATGGTTGTCACAGTGAACTGTTGTTGTTGCAGTGAACTGATGGTTGTTACAGTGAACTGTTTTTGCAGTGAACGGTTGTTGTCACAGTGATCTGATGGTTGTTACAGTGAACTGATGGTTGTTACAGTGAACTGATGGTTGTTACAGTGAACTGTTGTTGTTGCAGTGAACTGATGGTTGTTGCAGTGAACTGTTGTTGTCACAGTGAACTGATGGTTGTTGCAGTGAACTGTTGTTGTCACAGTGAACTGATGGTTGTCACAGTGAACTGATGGTTGTTACAGTGAACTGATGGTTGTTACAGTGAACTGATGGTTGTTACAGTGAACTGTTGTTGTTGCAGTGAACTGATGGTTGTTGCAGTGAACTGTTGTCACAGTGAACTGATGGTTGTTGCAGTGAACTGTTGTTGTCACAGTGAACTGATGGTTGTCACAGTGAACTGATGGTTGTTACAATGAACTGATGGTTGTTACAGTGAACTGTTGTTGCAGTGAACTGTTGTTGTCACAGTTAACTGATGGTTGTTGCAGTGAACTGACGGTTGTTACAGTGAACTGATGGTTGTTGCAGTGAATTGTTGTCGTTGCAGTGAACTGATGGTTGTTGCAGTGAATTGTTGTTGTTGCAGTGAACTGCCTGCAAGGTGCTCATCCGCACCATCAGCCATCTCCTTGTTTCCTCGTGCAGAGCCAGAAGGGAGTGACATTGTCCAGGACTCAGGCAGCATGAGGTGGCTTTAAAACATCTCTTAAAAATCTCAAATAGAAGCAAACCTCTTTAACTGTTTTCTTTCTACAACTGGGAGAAAATTATCTTAAAGGAGACAAAATTATTTAAAAGTATATTTTAAAAGATTCATTTATATGGGTGTGTATGACTGCGTGAGTGAATGTCTCATGTGTGCAATGCCTTGGAGACCAGAGGCATTGGATTCCCCTGGAACTGCAGTTACAGAAGTTGTGAGCCAACAGATGTGGATGCTGGGAACTGAATTCTGATCTGGAAGAGCAGCTGATGCTCATGGTCACACCCACCTATTTTTAACACAGGTGCTGGGGATTTGAACTCAGGTCCTCATGCCTGTACAGAGAGTGCTCTTGCTGACTGAATCACTGCTCCAGTCCCAAGTTTCATTTTTATTTTGGTGCTGTTCATCTTTCACTAGTTCTCATTATGTAAACTTAAATCTAATAAAAAATAGTGGGAAAATTAAAATAAAATACAAAGAAATGAGCCAGTAATCCATAAAGGCATGGAGGAAACTTTAGTGCCCATTAGTAAGAGCAAGGGGCCAGCAAAAGTGTCTGTACCACAGGAGTCCACAGTAGGAGTCTGGAAAGGACAGAACTCTGGAGAGTACAAGGGTTATATCTCTGGGCACAGGAAGGGGTCTATAGGCAGTTCAGAGGGCTTTTCAGGAAACTACTCTATACAATAATGACCAGCATATGTTATTTGACCTTTGTCAAAATCCAGAGCATGAATGGCATCAGGGGTGTGTCCAGTGCTAACTTCAGATCTGACTGAGTGTCTGTCTGTAGTCTGCTGCAGCAGCCCTACCTTTCAGGGGTCATGCCTACAGTAACGCTGCCAGTCAGATGGACAGATGCACAGGGAAGTCGTACCTTCTCCTCAGTTTTGCTGTAAACCCAAAGTATCTCTGAAATATATTGCTTTTTAAAGACTTTTTATAAAGTCTTAGAGTTAGACAACTATTCCTAAGAATACTTCAACTCCACAAGTAATAATGGAATGATAAGTTGATTTGGCTACATAAAAGTTAAAGACTTGCATAAGGCAAAAAAAATAGTCTAAAAATTCTTAAGAAGTCAAAAACTGAAAATGGACGATAAACTGAAAATGAGATACTTCTTCAATAGATCAGCAGTTTTGGAAACTGTTGAAGAGGACAATCAGGATGACTCTGTGGGTGAAGGTGCTTGTTGCCAGTCCTGAGGACCTGAGTTCAATCCCTGGGACCCACATGGTGGAAGGAGAGAACCCACTCAAGTTGTGCTCTGATGTCTATGTATGAACTATGGCATATGCTCCCAAATGAATAAATGAATATAATAGATTTCTTTAAGAGGGGGCTGGGGCTGCAGCTAAGCGGCAGAGTCCTTTATGTACTTAAGGCCCTGGATCCGATCTACAGCACTAAACATATACACGTGCAAGGGTGAAATACCTCACAGAATATTATTCAGTCCCATATGTAATTAGTAAAACAAAATTGTGTGCCTTTCACACTGAGGGAAAAATGTGTAATTGCTACCAACCTGTATTTGCACTGAGAGGAAGAGTCACTCCAACACACTGCTGGATACAAGCAGGTGCGACTTCTGAGAGCACAATTTGGCACCGTTCAAACTCAAAACAAGCCCATGTGAGCACTCAGCGATGCCACTGTGAACGTGCAGCTTGAAAAGGTGGCTGTATGAAGCTTTTTATTGCAACAATTTTAATAGATAGAAACAAGAAAAATCCTGAAATGATTACCAATAGGGGATGATTAAGTTAATTTACACATCAGGAATACAGCTTAGCTCTATACTAAGAGAAGCACGTTTGTAATGTGTACTTCAGTGAAAGAAGCCAATGTGGGGACAGCACATAGTGACTGATTACATTTATTATGTAGAAAGATGAACAAGGTGGATTGCTTAGTCCTGGGCAGGCTAGAGTATGCACATATACATACATGCATATGTGTGTATATACACAATGTATATATATATATATATATATATATATATATATATATATATGGTGATTCCATTTAGCTTTAAAAAAATGTGTTGACACAGAAAATTTCCCCCCAAACTCATAAAGTAAACTGAGTCCTAGTTGCCCCAGTAGAGGAATGCAACACCTTTGATTGTTCTTCACTCTTTACCATTCATGTTGTTTTGTGTTTTGCAGTAAGTATTTGCTAATATAAAAAATAATAATTCACAAATATAGACATTGAAATGGACTTTTAAACAGAAGCAGTGATGCAGCAGAGATGGGAATGATGAGCAAACATAATTAGAATAAGTATAATTTCCACTTCTCTAGCAACTCTGATGAGTGCAAATCTCTGCAAATAGGACAAATTGCACAGAAATAAACCAAAGGGCAAAATTTGTATATTCTTCATTTTACAAAATACTTAGCAGAAGCAGCAGAACAGACATTTATTATCCATCACTATTGATTTAGCAACTCACAGTGACATAGAAGGTTTTGGTCAGCCTTAATTTTGTGTGAACTACTTCACAACATCCCTATCAGTTGCTATGGAAACAGCTGCAACCAAAAAAATCTGCAACCTTGTGTGGTTTTTTTTTTTTCAGTCTTCTCAGGCATGAAAAGAAGGTTTTTTTGTTTGTTTGTTTTAATTTTTGTTTTTGAGGTAGTAAAAGCTACAAATAACCTTATTATCAAACTTAATGATTAAAAACTCTGGAGAATATGAAGGAAGAAAACAGACCAGTGTCAATTATAACATAAAAGGTTTCCTTCGTTTTGAAAGCAACACTCTGGTGAGTCCTGCTCTACTTTTGAAAGCTCTGTTTTGCCAAGAACTTTATTTGCGGGGCTGATGAGATGGCTCAGTCGGTGAGAGCGCTTGGTGCGCAGGCATGAGGATCTGAGTTCAGAGCCTGAGAAGCACATAAAGAGAGCTGTGTGTGACTACAAGCCCGGGCAGCTGCAGTGCTGTGTGGAGGGATGGGAGGGCAGAGACAGGAGCATTACTACACGACACAGGGAGCTCAAGGTTCGGTGTCAAGAGACCTTGTCTCAAGAGAATAAGGCATACGGTCAAAGAGGACATCCCACATGATCCTCCAACCTTTAGGGGTTTGTGCATAGGCATGTGCTCTTGCATGCATGCATGCACGCACTCAAGCTCACACACACATAGATTTTTGTTGTTGAGAACCTGGAAAGCTTTGTATCATTATAAAACATAATTACTAAAATATGAAATGACATTAATGTACCCTGCATTCATTTGGGGTTTTTCTTCTGCGATGTTATCATTTTTGCTCTAAGATGATGAGTTTAATGTGTGCAAAATCCAACAGGTAACCATGGATACACTCTGTTTGCATTATCTTTTATATCCTTAGCATGGAAAAAAGGAGATACAGATACAAGATAGAAGAGATTGTCATAGTCTTACGTTGGTGACATGGCAATTTGAGCTCATGTAATTTGTCTTATCAGCAAGCTAAAGAAAAAAATGATAAGATAATTTCACTTGATAGAGTAATGTATCTCATACGGTCCAGCACCCATTTATGGAAAAACTTGGCAAACTTGAAACCAGATAGTGGGCAAACAATATGAGTAGTATTTCAGCAAATATGGATAGTAAAGAGATGCTGGGAGAGATGGCCAGCGTTGTCAACCTGAAGACACACACAGTGAAATATCAGAATGGCTGAAACAGAAGCAGTGAAACCACATGTGGATGGGGGTGTGGAGGGATCAGACCACTCCTGTTTTGAGTATAGGAATTTTAAGTGAAGCCACCCTACAATTTGACAGTAGCTTATAAAATGGAACACACGGGGCAGAGACAGGGCTTATCATTAAAAACACTTCATGCTCTTGTAGAGGACCCAGGTTTGATTTTTCAGCACCCACATGGCAACTCACAACCACCTATAAGTCCAGGTCCAAGGAATCCAGTACCTTCTTCTGGCCCCCATGGGCACCAGGGATACAAAGGTACATAGATGCACATGCAGCCAAAGCACACAGACACATGAATAAATAAGTAAACCTGTAAAAACATAACTGACTGGGTGTGTGTCTGCACTGGGTATGGTTAATCCCAACACTCAGGAGGCAGAGGCAGATGGATTTCTGTGAGTTCGTGGCCAGCCTGGACTACAGAGTAAGATCCTGTCTCAAAAACAACAAAACCTGAATATGACATCCATCCAAATACACCAACAATGACACCCCTAGTCATTATCTCATATCTATGGAGATTTACTTACATCATATAAACATCTGCACCAAGCAATTTCATCTGTAACAGCCCAGATAAAAAGAACGCAGTGCTTGAGTGGGTTTAACATCAGTGTCTGGCACACACCTCATCAGGGAAGAGGAAGGAACTTGCGGTGTGCACAACTTAGGTGAATCTCTAGGAACTGTGCTGGATGAAAAGAGTCGATCCTAAAGGACTTCAGACTGTGGTCCCATTTATATAACACACTTTAAATGTCAAAATTATAGACAGGCTGGACAGATCTGTAGGAGTCTGGGATAGAAATGCTTAATCTCCTGGCTGAATTCATGTCAGATCCCAAACATGATGTCCTAGGTAGGGTTACTATTGGTATGATGAAACCATGGCCAAAAACAATTTGGAGAAGAAAGGGTTTGTTTCATTCACAGTTGCGTATAATAGTTATTATCATCAGAGCACTGAGGGCAGGAACCTGGAGGCAGGAGCTGACGCAGAGGCCATGGGGCTGCTACCTACAGGCTTGCTCCCCATGGCTTGCTCAGCCTGCTTTCTTATAGACCCCGGGACCACCAACCCAGGGGTGGCACCACCCACAATGGGCTGGGCCCTCCCTCATCAATTACTGATTAAGAAAATGTCCTGCAGGGTTGCCTACAGCCTGATCTTATGGGAGTGTTTTCTCAGTTGAGGCCCCATTCTCTCCAGTGACTGTAACTTGTATCAAGTTGACATGAAACTAGCCAACACACACGGTTTTCTTTTGATCATGTGTCTGGGTATGTGCACACAAGTGCAAGTGCAAGTGCCTTCTGAGGTCAGAGGCATCAGATCTCCGGGAGTTGGAGTGACAGGCAGTTGGGAGCTGCTGGGTGTACCCGCTGGGATCCAGCTCCAGTCCTTCCCAGGACGGTGCACACTCTTAGAGGCTGAACCGTGTCTCTCATGCAGTTTTTCTTCCTCAGTGCATGAATTCCTTCTTGTTTCTCTCAGGACCTAACATTGTTGCATGACGAGTGTCCGAAGCAACTTTTGCCTGAGATACCTCCTTCCATCACCTCTCCTACTTCCTGGATGTCAGAAGGGGAAGCAGAAGTCTGCAACCTCTGGGATACAGGTAATTTGGTTGTGGGCAGAAGTTTCTCCAGAAACATGAGTAAGATGCACTAGAAGGGAAGTCTACGCAAATACAAGATTTGATTTTGAAGTAAAGCAACAGTTGACTTGTTTAGCATTGATAGTCCAGCACAGGACTGCATGATAAATCTAACCCAGGCATGGCCTTAGACTCCCATTTTGTCAGTCTCTTGCTTCACTGACTTTTTTTCTTTTACTTCTTTTTCATTTTGTCTAAAAATTAAATGTAAGCCTTGAACCTGTTGTGAAAGCTTTAAAGAGCAGGACTAATTTTCTGTTCTTAAAAAAAGATTCATTTTTATTATTTTTAATATGTATGTTTTGCATGCATATTTGTCTTGTGTGCCTTTGTGCGATGGAGGCCAGAAGAGGGTGGCAGATTCCCTGGAACTGGAGTTATAGACAGGTATGAACCACCGTGTGGGTGCTGTGTATTTGAGCCTGGGTCCTCTGTGAGAGCAGCCAGTGCTCCTAACTGCTGAGCCGTCTCTGTAGCCAGCTTTAGTATGTTTTTTGAATGTAACTTATTTTGATGAAATTTAATGAATGAGATCCTTCTAAAGCAGGCATTAAGTGAAAATGTGAATAAGCATAACACATAGCATCAACTTCACAGCTTACTTAATCATCTTTTGAATAATTAACATTAGGAAATGTCACAGTGTAAATCTGGATGTGGTGGCTAACACAACCCCACCACTCAGGATGGGGAGATATGAGGATCATATCTCATCCAAGCCAGCCTCATCCAAGCCAACCTGAACTGCAGTGTAAGACCCTATCTCAACCCCCCCCAGGAGGGCACAGGATAAAATTATACAAAATGATAGCAAAGTCATCTCCAATAAATAACAATGTTGGGTCCCATCTGGGCTCTGCTGCTGTCAGGACCTGCTGCGGTCTGGCTCTGGTTGAACCTCTGCCTCCTGTCTCTGCTCTACATGAAGTCCCAATCTACAATATGCTTTGGCCTCATTGCATGCATGCTAAGTGCACACCGAACATCCTGGTTGCAATAGGCTTTTCCTCTAGGTTTGCTCAGCAAATAGGGTGCACCATCCTTCACCAAGATGTGGATGAGATGTACCCCCCATGCCTTGTCTCTTTGCTTTTCTAGCTCCCAGTCAACCTCTCCTGTCTCACAGACGTGGTACCTCATGGTTTAGGTTCTCTCTGCTCCCTGTTCTTGGACCACAGTGTGTTAGCATAGACTTAGTTTCCTTACAAATACTCATTTATAAATAGTTCTTCTAAACTCCTATAAGAACTTAAAAAGATATTTTAATAAACACAACAAAACTTGAGGTAATGGTGATATTTGTGTGGGATGGCATTTGTACAGGTAATTGTTATAAATGGCTATAACCCAGGGACAGCTTGCTTGGGATTTTAAATTTTTAATTGATGAATGTATTTTAAGACAATTCCTCACTTTATAGCCTTGACTGGCCTGGAACTCACCATATGGAGCAGGCTGTCCTAGAAATAACTCACAGAGATCCACCTGCCTCTGCCTGCTGGGTCCTGGGGTTGAAGGAGAACACCATCTCATCTGCTTTGCTTAGTATTCTTCTAACACCCTTTACAGCAAACAGCCCCAATCCAAAAGCTTGAAGGAAGAGCAGTCAGGAAAACTTTCTTGTATTCTGACATCGCCTAACATTTTTTCCTCCTAGCATTTCAAATATAGACTTTCTTTTTGAGAGCAGTTTTAGATTCACAGCAGAACTCAGTGGAAAGTGCAGAATGTCTCTGCTCCTGTGCGAAACACATGCAGCTTGTCGCTATCTGCAGATATCGCAGTCAGACTTGTATCGATGTGATGGTCATTCTAAGTCTGTGGCTTTGTCCCAGTTCATTCTTGGTGTGGGACATTCTGTGAGTGTGAATGGCATATGTACACTATCACCATACAGTGTGACCTTGACCCATGTCCCCTTGTGCTCCACTGTTCACCCCGCCTCTCTCAGCTGTCAGCCACTGTCCTTTTTACTGTCTTCATAGTTTTCCTTTCTTAGAATAGCACTGGACTCATGCATACATAACCACTTTAGAGTGCTTCTTTGAGGCTCTGACCTGACTGAGCGTTCTTCTCATGGCCGAATCACTCCTTTCTCCTGAGTGCAGAATAAGATAGATCAGCTTATTAATTTGCCCACTATAGGACACTCTGGTTGCTTTTGGTTCTGTGGATACAAAAAGTAAGCAGCCAAGGTGGGCTTTTGAATTAATATATATTTTCCCCTGATGCTTTAACACGAGTGAAGTTGAGTGTAGGTGAGAATAGAAGCCACCCTGAAGAGGAGAAGCCACAGAACTGCTACACGAGGGAATGCCTCCACTGTTTCTCTTAGCCAGAACCCATCTAAGCCAGAGGGGCTCTTCCTGTTATTTTTAATGTATAAGTATGTGGTGTGTGTGTGTGTTCACCTATGGGTGCATATGTGAAAGTGTATGCACACACCATATGTGGAAGAAGCTTGAAGTTAGCACCAGGTGTACTAGCTCAATGTCTGTCAACTTTGTTTACTGAAGCAGGGTCTCTCACTGAACCCAGGGCTCACCCATTCCTGCTAGGCTTGTTAGCCCTCTTGCCCCGGGATCCTGTCTCTCTCTACCTCTCGAGTGCTAGGGTTATAGGCAGGCTCCATGCCTTCCCCGTTATATGTGCTCAAGCGCTTTCTCCTCTGAGCCGTCTCCCCTGATTCTTTCCCTATTTTTAAGCCTTTCCTTTCTCCAGCCTTTCCCTGGCGTGCTAAAATGCAGATCCTAGCATTTCACTTCCCAGCTTCACAACTGTCAACAGCTCTCTGCTGCCAGTGAGATAAATCTCATTTTTTTTCATATTGTCATATGAAATTTCCATAGTTTGATCCCAGCCAATCTTTCTGGTCCCATCACCCCAAACAGTCAGTACTCTCGTGGCTCTGTGACATAGCATGTGGAGTCCCTTCTCTCTAGACTGTCTTTGTTCCAGGGTACCATGCTGATCTAAATTTTCTGGCATAAATACCATTTATTATGTCATGGATTCTCTGCGACAAGAATTAGGACAAGGCACAGTGGGGATGGCTTGCCTCTTCCATGATGGATAGATGGTTGGGCCTTGGCTGAGGAGCTCAAAGGCCAGGCCAGGAATCTTCTGAAGGCTTGCTCCCTTGTGTGTCTGGCCCTTGCTGCTGGCTATCCACTGGGGGCCTCAGTTCCTCTCCACATGAGCCTCTTTAAGTGGTCTTTTCACATGGGCTAGTGAGAGCTTCCTCACAGCATGGTGACTGGGTTCCCAGGGTGAGCATATTCTGTCCAAACAGAGCACAAAGACCCAGTAGGAGCTGTATAATCAATCTCCAAAGTCATGCCATCGTGCTTCCAGTATGTTCTGTTCACTCAGGCAGTTGCAAAGTCCTGCGCAAGCTCAGGAGACTGGAGGGTAGACCTCTACCTCTCCATGGAGGGTCATACCACATTAAAAGAAAACAACACTGGGTGGGATGCAGATTAGTACATGCATGTATGTGCCAGTATGTGTGTTCGGAAAAAGTCTACCAGCTTTCTTTCACATTATAAATATTTACAAAGTCCTATTTAAATAGCAAGACCCAGTGAAAATGTCATGACTGTTATAAAATCTTTCTATATGTTATTTCTCCTTTCAATACGGTCTCACATGGCTCTCCCAATATCTCTACTATAGGAGGATTTTTAAGTTTGTGTTTTAATCTGTATAAATTATACTTGCTTTATAACTACATGAGTTAATAAGTTAATATACTCATTAAAAACATTGGAACTAAAGCCACTCCACATTCTAGCTGTCCCTTATCCAACACAGTTGTCTCCACAGAGCTAATCAGTTGGTGGGAAGTTTCTAGGCCATTCTCTGGGTATTTGCACACATATATTTCGAATCATATACAGATAACTTTATTTTGTTTTAGATCGTTATTCTTTATTTTTCCTGAAACTATGTGACATGTTAGAACACCACCTGGTGAGGCCGGGCGTGGGAGGGTTGGAAAGATTGTTTAGTGTCTAGAGCACTTGTGGTTCTTTCAGATCAGAGCTCAGCATATGCACACGCGCGTGCGTGTGTGCGCGCGCGCACACACACACACACACACACACACACAAGTCTTAAAAACAAACATGAATACCGCTTGATTATCCTTCCATGTTTGTCACTATGCAGAAATTTTTCCTAATCTTCTGTAATATCTGGGGATATAGCTTATTGCCCTGATGGTCAGCATTTTGGTGTTTTATATTTTTCATTCATAATTATGGCTTTGGTGAATAACCTTGTAAACATATGTGAGTATTCTTCAGAGTGGATTTTTAGAAATGGCTTTCCTATGCTGTATTGTCTGCCCATTTTCGTTTTCATTATTGCTGTCAGTTAGCTCTTCAAATATCAGGGCCAATCCACGCTTGCAGTACACAAGAACCCAGCCCCTCACACCCTCACTATCACTTGATAGTTTCAAGCCTTATATTTTTATCACTTGGATGAAAGTTGTATTACATAGCTAGTATAATTGGAATATTTCCACATATTGATTGGGTGTTTTTATCTCCTCCTCTGTGGTTTGCCTATTTATATAATTAACCCATTTGTCTTGTGTATTGTTTGTTGTTCATCCTAATTGATTTTGTAGCTTTAGATATATATGAACGTATAAGCTATGCCTGTAATTTGTGTTGCAAATCTCTTCCAGGCTGTGGCTTGTCTTTAGCTTTCTCATTAATGTGTTCAAAGAAGTTTTAGGTTTCGTATCATATTTTTTCCTTCGTAACTTGTGAGTGTGTGTTTCACAGGATGAAAAGCGGCTGTCAGTTGTAGATGTGACTCACTTAGTAGAGTGCCTCCACACAAGCCTGAGTTCCGATCCCCAGAACATGTGAAAATCCTAACAAAACCCCCAACAGCACATGAGAAGCCCTCTTTTGAGTTGTTGGTTAGGGTTTTCCAAGAGAATCCCA